ATTGTAATATAAAAATTGTATAATATAATAACGATATAATTTTTATTTTGGCTCACTTGATTGTTTCCATTTATAACATGACCTCAAATAGAAATTATATTCTACAGCTAAATTTTAATTACTGAGGATGATCAAATATTGATCGAAACGTTTAATTAAGTTAACCAATATGAAGATTGTTAACATATGTATTTAATAAGAAGAAGATTGTAATATAAGCAATTAACAACTAGCGTTAGGCACGAAATCCTCTGTTTTTGTATTATTATTATTTCATACGTGCCTTTCTTCCGTTATTGATAAAGTAAAATAATTTTCTATTTGGAGAAAAATTGTTTTAAAAACAAATTAAAATAATATATCAAGCACTTGCCATGCAAAATTTAATTCAATGAACTGATCATAGAAATATTTTTTCAAGAAATACAATTAATAATTAATCAATGATTAAAATTAATGGAACTCGTGGTCTTATTTATATATTCTACTGTTTCTCTCATATTCTTTAGGAAAAGCTCAGTCTACCGATGATAGCGTGAACGAAAATTATCTTCGTGAAGCGGAAATGGTGACCGAATATCTGTACGGCACTCGAAGTCGCGTCGTGCCAAGAAATATGTTGGCGAGCCGATATGATCGCCGTGACGAAAGTCAAGAGCAGAGACGTGGCAATCCCAACACCTATGACGTCTATATCATATCCTCCAAGCAGCAGCAACAGCAGCAATCGTCAAAATCGTCCAATTCCTCGCAACAGCAGCAGCAGCAGCAGCAGCAACAACAATCACAACAGCAGTCGCAGCAACAACAGCAGCAGTCCAGACGGCCGCGAACGCTGCAGAGAGGCGCCACGACGCCCAACACGAACGCGCCGACCGTTAATCAAGACTTCTGCATCAGTCCAGATACGAAGCTGCGCTGTAACAGTAGTACTTGTGATTTCTGGCCTCATTGCTCTCAAAGAGAGACTCTATACTCGCCGAGTCAAGCGCCGCAGCCGGTCTTTATGAAGCTGTCGCAGAGCTACCCAGCGCATCAGAGGCTCTCGACTGACGCCGGCAGCCACCGAGGCAGCGCCAGCTCGTCGCCGGCTTCTTTGGAGCGGATGGACGACCGAGAGCTCCGCGAAAGGGATAACGTGAGGAAAAACAGAAGTAATCAGCAGAACAACTCCAAATATCAGGAGAGACCGAAAGGCGTGCTCAAGCAGGGCAATCGATGGTCGCCGATGGAAGGAATCAACGGCAATGGTACGTAATAGAATATTTAATTATTAAAAAATTGAATTAAATAATTTCTACATAACAGAAACAATTTTTTCAACTAATATATATTTTTAAAATTATATATAAACAATTGTATTTTTTTAATAAAAAAAAATAGGCTCCGGAATGGAGAAGAGGGATCAAATGCACCACCGAGTGTACCGGAAACCTGATTTCCCGGGATCTTTCGACGGCGCTGAGAGCAAGGACAGAAGAGTGTCGCCCATACAAGGGATGAACGTCGTCAGTAGATCGCCCAGCGGCTGCCCAATCGGCTCTTCGTCGACGACCACCTCGTCATCGTCGAGCAGTGATATCTGGGTCACCACGTCGATCGCACGGTGACGAAGAGCCCGCGGAACGCCAAGAGTTCCGGTGCATCGACGCCGATGGAGGACGCCGTGATCGGTTCTCTGAAGACGCTGATCGAGGCGCCGAAGGATGGCACACTGTCCAGGCCTGGCAGCGCGCCCACTCGTGGCGAGGACTCTCTCACAGGCGACATCGTCCTGGATCCTCACCAGCGATCTTTGTCGTTGCCGAAGTCCTTCCTGGCGCACAACACAGCGGACTGGTGAGTAAAAACTTCGTTCTTTCTCGTGGCGTGTATCTCTCGACGATCGCGTGAGCGCGAGACTCATCGGACGAATAAGATTCGTGCTGATGGAAGTTGCGATATATCTACGGCAGCGTCGTATCCCTCGATCGAACGAAACGACGAGGGCAATTTCGTAGCAGGCGGCTGGCGAGATAGATTCCCCTTAAATGTAGTACGCGTCCGCGGCCGTGTTCGTTCAAATCCTGCGGTTAAGTTTACTGGGTTGCCGGGCTACTGTGCCGCGCGCGTTCGATTGCGCTAGTAATTGGCTGCCGATCGAAACCCCGTCCGGTATTCCATTATACGTGTTCTGCATACGCGAGTCGTGTCGTAGCGGCCAAGCGAACCTGGCGCATCCTTGGGATTAGATTTAACCCTTCGATACACGAACGTTACGATCGGCGCACCGCGTGCGCTTATTAGCGCTTGTGCTTTTTGAAATCGGTTATAGCATACGAAGTTACACATTGCAGCACATTGGCGGGCGATGAGGTCTGAAATAAAAAATACAGTCGCAAATCCGCTCTTAACGAACGTATCGATTTTTAGGGGCACTGAAAGTTTCCATAATCATTATTTCTCCAATAATCCTCGGCAGAGTAAAGTTGAATGTTATAAGTGCGCATCAAAATTTGATACGTCATAAAATACGATTTTCCTCTTGAAAATTTTTGACATGGAAAATGGAAATGAGGCAATTAAACATGTCGTAAAGTAATATTTTCAGCAGCGAATTTCTCTGAATATTTCAGTATATGATAACATTTATTTTACATTTATTTATAAATTCTAACGCGCACCGAAATACAAGTAATAAGAGTGATAAGAAACGGAAATTAAATTAAAATTATTGGAAAAGGGATTAAACAGAGAGATCTAAAAAGAAACTGGCGCAGCAAAGCGCCGTGGTTGACTCTAATATTAATATACTTGACGTTATATTAATTACGCGCTAAAAGACACTCCCGTCCTGTCGCAGACAAGATCGTCTGCGTTTGTGTAAAAACACGTGTGCTTTCGCGTAAAACGGCACGTGTAAAGCTTTTAATTAAATCGTCGCGGAGAAGAAGCATCGCGATGCGTTATCTTGGCGTCCTTTGTTCGTCGCGTAAATGTAATTTCAACCTCGAGCATCTCTCTTTTTCCCTTTTTTTTTTCTTTGTTTTCTTTGTCGATACGAGTTATCCCGTGCTTGCTAATCGCGGTACTACGAATGACGCACGATAACACGGCGTCGTTTCACTAATAGCGCAATCGCATGTCCGTCACGTGCAGTAGACGCATCAATGCACCCCGCGGGGAGATGTTCGATTCTCTCACAGGCGTATCGCGTTTGCGTATACACGTTAATTCCCACGCTATTGCCGCCCTCGCGTTCGGTATCGTCCTGTCAGCTGGATTCGTCTATTCGCATGATACACAGATCGCGGTGCACACTTTTGAAACTCGCCGCGTCGCTTGTCATTTTCCAGTTCCGAGCACGAATACAAATGTCGATTCGGCTGGAAAAGCTAATTGGTACGCGCGGTCTCGCGCGGTCTCGCGATGACCTAATTACTGGAACAATTTCGTCCCGAAATGTGGCATCGATAATAATTTTCGCATTACAAGAATCTTTCTTTGTTCTTCGAAGCGTGTGTAAAATGTAATGCGACGTAATCGCGACAGTTGTGCAGGCGTGTAAAAATTTGCGCTATCCACGTATTATTCGAGCAACAAAAAGTGGCCTAGCTAAAACATATATAAGGAACAATTTTTATTGAATATATATATATATATATATAACAAGTTATGTGAATTAAAAACTAACATAGACGCTAGATTTTTCAATCTTTTAAAACTGTCACGCGGAAAAATTGAAAATAATTCTAATTAAATGTCAAGTTCGTTCCCTTTAAATTTACAAGTTAACTAGAGTTCTGAGTGAAATATTCGAACTCTCGAATGTTCAATTTTGACAGCAGTAGAATGTAAACCACCACATCGATCGTGTCCCTGCCGATTGATTTCTCGCAAACCACGTCCGGTCGGTCTGTTCGCGCGCCATCAGACTTCCAAACTCGACGTTATGCGCGCCGAGTTTCCGCCGTTTCTGAACTCTCGATATTTAATCCGGTAAGCGCGAAGTTCCGCGAAGTCCGCGGCTCGCAACTCCTTCTTTCTTTTCAACCGTGAAAGGTAAAACTTTCGATCCGCGGAGTTTCCCGTGAAGGGTAGCGCCGGAAGCCGCACGGCCCCGAGCTCGTTGGAGCAGAAGCCGAGGATGTTGAAAATCTGTAAAGGATCGCGAAGCGATATAGCGACAGACAGTGAATGTATGTGAATTCCGCTGGTGGTTTCAAAGAACAGGATTATCCCGCAGGTCAAGTGAACTGGAATGGCCGAAGCCTAAAGCTACGACTTTGATCAAAGAGTTAAAGCCGTTGTGAAAGAAATGATTGACTCTTTTCACTACGTATAAGTTACTTTTATGAAACATTTTATCGATATGCATATTTTATATTACTTTTACGTAGTTAATACACGTGTTAGGCAAAAACACATTGAAGAATATCAATAATTTGTCGACGTCGCAAGCATCCATGCGACAGATCGCTTACGTTCCGATGATGTATACCGGATCACTATTCATCCGTCAACGCTATAATAACCGCAGTGCACATCGCAAATAGCGTTGACCGCCCCATAAATATCCCTCTAATAAATGCGATAGCCGGTAAATCGTATAAACTATACTGTCATCGAAAATATCGATCTTTATCTAGGCCGTCAAATCTCGCTTCACATCTCATCTGTGCGCGCGGTGACTGACGTTTATTAAATATTTATGAAGTTATCTATCGAAAGATATCACATTCCGCTGTTCACGACGCCATAAAAGTGCTCAAATATATTACGCTATCTCCCTCTCTTTACCGGATACTGCTCGAGGGCATTCCTTTAGCCCGCTTTCACCCTTCTTTTACCGCCTCAGTCGCTTTCAGGGAATCCGTTTGATAAAAAAAAGCAAACGCCTGCCAAAAGATTTCACGGATCACGGATAATGGTTTTCACAAAAGGCGCACTTAAGATTATTAACACTTTACTCGCTTCTCACAATTTATAGAATACGTTAACTCATAAAGATATTCTAAACATTTTTCGAAGTTTCTCTAACCTTTGTGTTATCATAATCATGATAACTTGAATTATTTTTTATTAAATAATAAAAAATTGAAAGAACTCTTTCTCTCTCTTTCTCTGTTTTCGTTTTCTCGATATATCTCGGTATTTGCTAAATTCGCCATTAATTACTGAGCAACGACAAGAGTATCTTACTCTCGTCTATCATTCTGGCGAATTCCAGCGGAAGCCTACATGATTCGAAAATCCTGTACGTAGGTGAAGAAGCCGTCGACTTCCCGGTCGCAAACCTCGATCCCGCACCATATATCGACGTCGCCCGCGCCGGTTGGAGTATTAATCTTCTAAGGGTCGTTATTTGCGCGACAGGTGGTCGGCCAAATCTCGAGGCATCGACCGTCGCCGATCCCGATCAGAAACGAGAATCACCGTCTAATTGCTGAACGGATTAATTAAGAGATCGCGAGATTAATTAAGAGATGTTCGATAATTGTCATGCGAAAGGATTTAATTAAGAGATGCTCGATATTGTCATGCTCGCATATTTTGCAAATTTACAATTATTTTTCAAATCTTTGCCGCAGCTTGTTAATATTATTTCTTTGAAATTTATAAAAAAGAATAGTAAGTTTGCTATACCGCCATGGTGCCGTCAATTCTGTAAATTTATTTTATGCGAGACTCGAGTTAGATTACTCTTGGGAACGCGGGCATACGAAAAAATGAGCGAAAGTTTGTCGTAGGAAAAATAATTCTCTGAAGGACGACTGTTTGAAAAAAAATACATTATAACTCTCATTGATTTTTGTAGTTAATACAACAGGCCTCGTGCAATTGTATTATAAAATTTGTCGTTTAATTTTCTTTTTAAATATGTAGCATTCAGTCCGTAAAATGTATATATCACACGCGAATTGCAAACTGTCAAATTAAGAGCACTCAAAATGATGGATCGCGCACTTCAATATCGCCATTTACGTTATATTTGGAACTTCATCGTTCGCATCGTTGCATTCCATTGCCGCTAATTTTCTTTAGCCCATTTTACTGATCCCGATGTAGGCGGACGAGTATCGATTTCGTTATCGCGCGTTTCCATTCACACGCATAAATTGGGACGGCGCTGTACTTGATACACTTGAAAATGCAAACCGTGTACTTCGTCAAAGTCAAGCGGAAATTACGATTTCTACTCATCAGGGTGTGCTAGCGCAATCCGATGCCTTGATTAATCAGCGAATTGCGATTCGGCGCATTTAATGTTACGCCTCGGCTACAATTATGCGTGCCATTAATCACCGCGCTCACGAGTATTAAATCCGTAAATATCAGCGGGGACGCTCTTTCTATAGTTCCACTAAAATCTATCGTAATATTAATCAAAAAGATTCGGCGTCGCATCGCGCGCTCTGTCCACGTGTAATAATTACGTCAAATCGATATCCCACAAACAAAAAAAAAGAAAGAGACGAGCTCATTATAAAATTTAATGAAACGAACAAATTAATCGTTCCTCTTTTATCGTCGTCCACTTGCAAATGCTGCGAACATTAAACGAACGAAGAAGAACGATGAAAAAAAAAACTTTCAAGCTAGCAATTTGCAGCATTTTTTTCAACTCTTTCATAATCCGCGCACTGATAGCCTTGGCGGTATTCGGGTTAAAATAATCTGCTGAATCGGGATTCATGTTTCAACTAAAGATTACATGACCGCGTTACGTCTGCGATAACAACAACCGGTTTCGTCTATAATCCCACATGCCACCGAAAGGATGTGAGATTGCGACGCTGACGCGAGTCTTAAGTTTAAATGCGCGTATCTTGATTGGATTGGACGAACGCGCTTTCTCC